CGAAGCTCTGCCTGAGCTGGAGACGAGCTGCGCGGATCTAGTCGATCAACACCTCAGTGGCATCACCCTTGCTGCGCAAGGGGAAGACTATGGTGTAACGCGAGTAGTCGTCAACCACCAGCAGGAAGTAGCGCTCGTGACCCTGTCCACGGACGCGGGCCGGGCCCCACACGTCTATGTGAAGCGTCTGCAGCGGGGCCTCTGTCGGGGGAAACTGAGAGGAGTGAGGGGTAGCCCGGAGCCGCCCCTCGACACAGGGGACACAGGAAGGACCAGGCCCCGGAGGAAGGGGAGGGAGGGACCGGGGAAGACCAGAGACAAGGACACGGGAAGCCATGCCTCGGAGACGAGGCAGAGAGGGGTGACCAAGACGGTGGTGCCACAGGAGAGTCTCGTGAGACAGGAGGCGACACGAGCAGGGGGCAGACTCAGGACCAGACCTGGACGCTGCAGCAAACACCTGACCCGACGGAGCTACCTGGCCAGACGCAGGAACAGGAGGGGACCCAGTGGTCAGGGTGTAGAGACTCGACCCCGGCCGACGCGAAAACGTGGCCAGGTGCCGGCCCATGCGGGCGTCCGAGCAGTGGGTCACCCGCTGACTCGCAGGAGTAAACTGGTGAACCCCCGCATCCTGCAGGTCAGCACCACTCACCAAGTTCGTCGAGAACGAGGGGAGGTAAAGACCAGAGAAGGTGCCAGAGGGGGCAGCCGGACACGAGAGGACAGTGGAGAAGTGAGAGAGGACAGGACCCCCAGAGGGGTCTGCGCGGGAGACTGCAACCGGCCGGCCAAGCGGCGTGAGTGTGGTGCGGTCTCGAAAGAAGGAGCAAGAAGCCCCTGAGTCAAGTGTGAAGGTGAGGGAGGCCGAAGCCGACGCGGTACCTGAGAGCGCAGCCTCACCAGCACCTGAGGGCGCAGACTCGCTGGCACCTAGAGCAGCAGCCTCATTGGCACCTAGCGCAGCAGTACCAATGCCCGGGTCGGGCGGGAAACACCGGTAACAGTCACCCTCATCACTAATAGTCACAGCATACATGGCAGCAAGGATAGCATCAAAGTGAAGATCATAGATAGCTACACCTGCCCTAGACAGCTCTCCCCAGCGGGGGATCTCACTAGCCTCCGGGAACTGTTGACGCCAAGCGTCCGTCAGGCGGCCAAAGCAGCGCTGGGTGGGGAGAGCACCCCCACACTGCTCACCCGCGCGGTCGCCGGAGCGAAGGACGTAGGTGCACGGACCAAAACCCCCACCACGCTGACGCTGCGTGTACCACTCACGGAGCTGCTGAGGAGGGGGGATGTCCCGAGAACGCTGCTGCTGCTGCTGCTGCTGCTACTGGCGCTGACCACCACCGGAGCCGCTCCGCTGCGAAGCACCACCCCGACCAGCTCCACCTCCTCCGCCAACGCCGCCTCCACCTCCGCCACCACCGCCGCCTCCGCTCCCACCGCTACCGCCTCCGCCGCCTCCGCCTCCGCTGCTGCCACCACCACCTCCACCCCCGCCACCACTCCCACCGCCACCCCCACTCCCTCCACCGCCTCCACCGCCACCTCCACCACCCCCGCTAGCTCCACCCGCGCCCTTGCCCCCCTTGCCCTTGCCAGAGCGGCGTCTCCCGCTAGGGGCAGACGCCGCACCGACCGACTCAAGACCAACGAGGTCGGCCGCAGCAGCAGAGGCGACAGAGGGCAACAGGGGGGAAGGGGAACACCCCTCAAAGATGGGGGTGCGAGGGTCACCACGAGAGGCTCCTACAGCGACTATGCTCTTCTCCGCTGCTAGGAGGGCCTTCTCTAGGAGGTCAACAGTGAGAGTGGTGGGACAGACTGAGAGGAAGTGGTCCCTGACTACGCGTAGGGAGTCAGGGAGGCGGGTGACTATATAATAGACAGTGATGTACATGGGGGGGGGGGGGGGTTCTTGGCGCAGAACTCAGCAGGAAGCGCGGCGCGGTAGCGAGTGTCACTAGTGCGGAGGTGCGTAGTGAGGTCATTGACTGTGGGAAAGGCAGCAAGGTCAGGGAAGAGGTACGGTAGCATGAGGCGGCTTAGTGCAGCAGTGGCAGGGGAAGAGTAGCGCGCAACTACAGCGCCGTACAAGGTCTGAGCACTCTTGTACTGACTAAAGTGCGCGCGCTCAGTGGTAGGCAGGTGGCGACGCACAGCAAGACGTGCAGCAGCATCGCGCGTGGCCCACTTGGAGCGAACAGTGGGGTCAGCATCAGCACCAGGGGCAGGAGAGGCGCCTGAGGTGAGGTCAAAGAGGGAGAGACCGTCTACCCTATCGCACTGTAGGAAAAGCTGCAAGTCATCTACCCAAACCTCAAAGTCAATGGCTCGACCCTCAGCGTGAAAAGCGAGAACACTGGGGGTAGCCATGACAGCAGTAGACTAGCAGTACCAACTGTAGGACAGGGGCAGTGCAGTGACAGAAGCGCTGCTCTCACCGGACAGGGCGGGTCGGGCAGCTCAGCAGTACAGCAACACAACAACACGGCTGCTCGGAAGGCTCAGCAGCAACTGCGGCTCCGTGGTGCCAGCGGCTCGGCTCCTCAGGCGGCTCGTGCGGCTCAGGCGGCTCGGACGGCTCGGGCGTCTCGGGCGGCTCGCGCGGCTCGGGCTGGTCGGGCGGCTCGGGCGGCTCAGGAGAGTCGGGCGGCTCGGGCGGCTCGGGCAGCTCGGGCAGGTCGGGCGGCTTGGGGGGCTCGGGCGGTTCGGGCGGCTCGGGCGGCGCGGGCGGTGTAGGGCGGCCGCTGGTGCGAGGGGCGGCGGGGCCGCTGAGAAGGGCGGCGGGGCCGCAGTTGAAGGGCGGCGGGGCCGCTGAGTAGGGCGGCGGGGCCGCTGAGAAGGGCGGCGGGGCCGCTGCGGAAGGGCGGCGGGGCCGCTGAGTAGGGCGGCGGGGCAGCAGTAGAAGGGCGGCGGGGCCGTTGATTAGGGCGGCGGGGCCGCTGAGTAGGGCGGCGGGGCCGCTGAGTAGAGCGGCGGGGCCGCTGAGTAGAAGGGCGGCGGGGCCGCTGAGTAGGGCGGCGGGGCCGCAGCGAGGGAGGCAGCGGGGCTGCAGCGAAGGGTGGCGGGGCCGCTGAGATGGGTGGCGGGGCCGCAATGTGGGGCGAGGGGGCCGCCGAGAAGGGCGGGGCCGCAGCGACGGGCGGCGGGGCCGCGGAGACGGGCGGCGGGGCCGCAATGCGGGGCGACGGGGCCACTGAGAAGGGCGGGGCCGCAGCGACGGGCGGTGGGGCCGCTAAGTAGGGCGGGGCCCGCTGAGAAGGGCGGCGGGGCCGCTGAGACGGGCGGCGGGGCCGCACTAAAGGGCGGCGGGGCCGAATCGACAGGCGGCGGGGCCGCTAGGGGAAGGGGCCGCTAGGGCGATAGGGCCGCTAGGGCGTAGGGGCCGCTAGGGCGGCTCGACGAGGTGAGAGCCCGGAGCGCGACTCGGGCGGAGCGCGCTTCGGGCAGGAGAAAAAAAATGAAACTCGATGTGGTGGGCCCTAGGCACAGTTCCCAAGGGGGAACCTGCTCTGATACCATGAGGAAAGTAGAACGAGAATGAATTGACTAAGGAATGGGAGTGATACAAATATGCAACCCTAGAAATGTGTACCCCATATAGACTACCCCACTATAGCCTACACAATATTATAATTTGACACTGAGAACCCCGAGCGGTTGCCCCTTCCCACACCTTTGTTAAGAGCCATTTTTAGATTGATAGCCCCCTGCTGTTGTAACCACTGCCAAAAGCTTCCCCTCAAGCAACCCCATATCTCAAGAATCAGCAGTTAGAAATGTACCCCCCTGTGCTGCTGCAGAAAAGGATGATAATCCACCGCTTTCCTCTTCTCTCACTCCTTGGCAGCAAAACCAATATTCCACCCACACTACCCATGCTATTGCACCAGTAGACAAACCGGATTCACGACGCTCACCTCGTGCGCATATGCTTCTCCATCCATCGGTCTCCTATCCGCCACGTCCACTCGCTTCCTCAGGCCTCGGCGGAAACGTGTCATCCTCGATTGTAACCACCTCACCCGACGCCTTGGCTATCTTAGCGACTACAAGCTTCATTGCATCATGAACACGCGACAGGACATAATGGTGCTTGCATAGTGAGGACCTGACGGGTCCTTAAACTCTACACCGCAAACACACTTGCCGAGCAACCAGAATTTGGTGGATGGGAAGGCCCATTGCAGCTGAAAGTGGCGTCATCATGTGCTAGAACTGTTGAACACCTCCTGTACCCCCTCCCCTCGCCTCCTCGACTAGAGAGCAGAGTGAAGCATATCGAGGTGATGTATTTTCTCCTGCAAGAGTTGCAGCGACGCGGCAAGGCACGCTTGGACTTCGTGGCCTCAGTGGCTAGCACTGCTGACATCTTCACCAAGGCCCTTCCGCCCAGTGACCACCACAGGTTTTGTTTGCAGCTAGGCCTTGTTAACGTAGGCCCTGGGCTACTGTTGTCTTGCCTCTTGATTCTTGCTGTACTTTTTTAATTTATGTGAATTCTTGAACTGGCCCTGTGGCCCTTTGCTTGTGCTCAGACTGTATGGTGACTTCGTGATCCACATTGAGCTTGATGTGTTCCTTCTCTTGATTGGTCTTGTGACCACTTGCTTGTCTTAATCATTATAAAGCCCCCTCACTTAGCTTGTGTAGAACTATTTTAAATTAGTATTTACTGGTTGTGGTCTTAAGATTCCCTCTTTGCTTGTACTCCCCCCCTTCATCTAACCTCAACAATCCGCTACTCTATTCTAAAAAACGTACACCACCAGCAGTTGTAGCTAATACGGTAACTAACAAGTATACTAGAAAACAGTAGGCAGTTATAATATGCAAATAACAATTCAACACAGAGCATAATGATGTATTTTTACAGTACAACATTCGGACAACTAACAGAGTCATTCAGTGCCGCATATCCTGCTTTTCCATTGAGCAAGGTCCAACTCTTATTGCGGGAACTATTTCACTCCAACTGTGCTGCTCGCTCACTTCCCGACAGGCTTGACTGCAATCGCCGACCGAACAGAGTGACCCTTCTCATCCACCCAAGTGAGGCTCCCATACTGAAAGTCCTCCGAGGCCCGAGTAACCTTGAAGGTCACCACAAAGCGGACCTTCTTACCAGGCGAGATGGTGAATCTGCTGGGCTTCACAGTCACCTCCACCCCTTGAGGCTTCTCAACCTTGGCAGTGTAAGTGGAGGCAGAGTCAGGCACACTGGTGACCGTGCGTGTGACTGTGATCGAGCCTTTGAGGGGCGCCACTGAAATGGTGGGGCGGTTGAGATCTCTAGGCGGCACAGCAGTGAGCTTTTCTTTTGGGTACTCTGCCCAGGTCCTCTTCATGTCCAGCCCGGCCAGAAAATTCAGATACTCGCTCTTCTGAGCGTCAAATGTGAGCCCAGGGTCGAGAGCCTTGGGTGGGAACACATGCCCGTTGCCCATATCCCACGGCGTGGTGGCTATCTTGGTGCGTTTACTAGAGATGGCAGCGCCGTTGACATCCTTGGTGGTGGCGGTGGTCATGATTGCAGACATGACCTGCGCGGGGCTCCAAGAAGGGTACTTCTGCATCACCAGCGCAGCGATCCCCGCCAGGTGAGGCGTCGCCATGGAAATTCCAGAGACCTGATTGGACCCGCCCTTGTTTCCCACGCGGGTGCCTGGTGCAGCAGCGTAGAGATCCACTCCCGGGCCGAGAATGTCGGGCTTTAAGATGCAGTCGTTCGCATGGCCGTTGCTGGGGCCGGCAGTCGGGAAGGCGAGGGGGCCCGTGGAGGAGAAATCGGCGACCTTTGGGGCGGATTCGCCGGGTGAGGGTGTGGCGGCGGGTGTGGCGGCGGGTGACGTCTGATTGGTGGATGATGGTGTGGCGGAGGGTGACGTCTGATTGGTCGATGATGGTGTGGCGGAGGGTGACGTCTGATTGGTCGATGATGGTGTGGCGGAGGGTGACGTCTGATTGGTCGATGATGCTGATTCGGCTGCACCTGCTGAGCTGGCGAGAATGATGCCGCTCCGGGCGATGGTGCTGTGGGAGGATTGGGGAGGAGAGGGGAGGAATAGGGAGGAGTGGGGAGGAGTGGGGAGGAGTGGGGAGGAGAGGGGAGGAATAGGGAGGAGTGGGGAGGAGTGGGGAGGAATAGGGAGGAGTGGGGAGGAGTGGGGAGGAGTGGGGAGGAGAGGGGAGGAGTGGGGAGGAGAGGGGAGGAGTGGGGAGGAATAGGGAGGAGTGGGGAGGAGTGGGGAGGAGAGGGGAGGAATAGGGAGGAGTGGGGAGGAGTGGGGAGGAGAGGGGAGGAATAGAGAGGAGTGGGGAGGAGTGGGGAGGAGAGGGGAGGAATAGGGAGGAGTGGGGAGGAGTGGGGAGGAATAGGGAGGAGCGGGGAGTAGGGAGGAGTGGGGAGGAGTGGGGAGTGGTGCAGGGAGATGCGGGGACGTTTAGGGGGAATTGGCCAGGAGGATACGCGGGGAGGTTGGGGAGACCGTGGGAGGAGGTTGGGGTGGGGGGATATGGGGGGAACATGGTGGTAATGCGGGGAGATAAGGGGGTGGCAGGATGAAAGCAATGCTAACATACCAGCCTGTGTTCTTTCTAACACCAACTCAAAATGAGATGAATGTGTGGCGATGGAGGCACTAGGAACAAGGGAACATGCTCACTTGGGTGAGCCAACTGCCGCTCAGGTAAACTGCTCACTTGGGTTTCTCTCAGCGGCAGTGGCCTCACCTGGCGCCGACTGTGAGGTAGAAGGGTGCGTAGTTGTCGATCGTGCGAGTGGCAAACCCAGGGCTGCCCGAGTTGCCCCCAGCAAAGGTCACGACCACCCCAGCCTGGACAATGGGACGAAAGGATAGGAGAGGAGAGGAGAAAGGAGAGGAGAGGAGAGGAGAGGAGAGGAGAGGAGAGGAGAGGAGAGGAGAGGATATGAGAGGATAGGATAGGAGAGGATAGGAGAGGATAGGAGAGGAGAGGATAGGAGAGGATAGGAGAGGATAGGGGAGGAGAGGAGAGGAGAGGAGAGGAGAGGAGAGGAGAGGAGAGGATAGGAGAGGAGAGGAGAGGAGAGGAGAGGAGAGGAGAGGAGGTGAGATAAGCAGGCATTGTGATGGCAGCACGTGATGGCAGAGAGACAATTGGGGAGCAGAGAAGGGAGTAGGGAGGGGAGAAGCGAGGGGAGTAGGGGAGGGAGGAAGGAGGAGAGTAGCGAGGGGAGAAGGGAGGTCAGTAGGGAGGGGTGGAGGGAGGAGTAGGGAGGGGAGGAGGGAGGGGAGGAGGGAGGGGAGTAGGGAGGGGAGAAGGGAGGAGAGGAGGGACGGGAGGAGGGAGGGGAGGAGGGAGGGGAGTAGGGAGGTGAGGAGGGAGGGGAGCTGAGGGAAATCAACAAAAGCGAGAGAGCCAGTGCAAAGAAGTGATTTCTCAAAGGCGAGAGGTGCACATGGGAGAATGGCACAGGGGAGAATGGCACAGGGGAGAATGGCACAGGGGAGAATGGCACAGGGGAGAATGGCACAGGGGAGAATGGCACAGGGGAGAATGGCACAGGGGAGAATGGTACAGGGGAGAATGGCACAGGGGAGAATGGCACAGGGGAGAATGGCACAGGGGAGAATGGCACAGGGGAGAATGGCACAGGGGAGAATGGCACATGAGAGAATGGCACAGGGAGGATCAGGGAGGGTAACAGAAGGAAGACAGGAAGGGGAGCAGCGAGTTGGAATCCTCAAAAGCTAAAGCGGCACAGGGGAGAGCGGCACAGGGGAGGGTGAAGTGTTCAAGAAGAGGCGAGGGGCGCACCAGGTTGGCGTTGAGGAAGGCGATGTCGTCGAAGTAGGTGGGATGTGAAAAGAGGTCGGGAGAGCCAAGGAGAGAAAACAGGGGATCAGGGAGGGGAGAAGGACTTACCAGGTTGGCGTTGAGGAAGGCGATGTTGTCAAAGTAGGTGTCGGTGGGGTTCACGACGCCCAGGGAGAGCGAGATCACATCCACGCCGTCCGCCACGCCCTGATTGACGGCTGCGATGATGCCCGCCTCCTCCGCCCGACTGTCTCCACCCCGGCTGGACGACCACAAGACCTTGTACGCCACGAGGCGCGCTGCTGGCGCCATGCCGCTCGCCGTGCCGCCCGCCATGGGCACTCCACTGTTTCCCGCTGCCGCTCTGCGTGTGGTGGGAGGTGTGTGGTGTGGAGGGTAAGGGGGGAGGGGAGGGGGAACGCATGGGGGAGGGGATGGATTGGGGCACATGAGAGGAGGATATATGGTGTTACGGTTACGAACAAATAGGGGAGACTTGCAGCACGGGGAGAGGAGTGTAGAGCGGTGGGCAGACACCTGTAACATGGCAGGCGGCAAGGCGAGCGGCACTGTGAATGTCTGCGAGCCGACTCACCCCGCGCACCACGTGCCGTGACCGTAGGCATCACGGGGCGACAGCCAATCAGCGGACAGATCCAACCCATGGGCGCTCTATACCCCTGGTAGAACGCGCGCGCTCCAATGACCTTATTGTTGCACTTGAACTCCCCCGTCGCGTCGCACTTCCCCGACGAGGAGAACCCTTTATCGCTGAACGACGGGTGTTCCGGCCAGATGCCCGAGTCCGCAATCGCAATCACCATGCCGTCTCCCGCCTTCGCCTGCCCGCCATTCGCGGGCCAGAGCGACCTGGTGGTGCCAGAGGATGCGGTGTTCATTACGAGGAAGGTGGGCGAGTCGGTGGTGAGGAGGCGCTTGAGTGTGCTCCGCCGCACGGACGCCACGGCGGGGTGGCGCTTCAGCCGCCAAAGCTTCCCCGGCGTGAACATGGCGGAGAAGCCGTTGGACGTGTGCTTGTAGCTGGGGGGGTGAGGGAGGGGCAGGGGGAGGGGGGGAAGTGGGAGGGGAGAAGGTGGAGGGGGGAAGGTGGAGGGACAAAGGTGCGCACATGAGCTGGCCCGCCGGCGTGAGCATCGCAAAAGCTGTTGGACGTGTGCTTGTAGCTGCGGGGGGTGGGGGGAGGAGGGAAGGGAAGGGAAGGGTGCTCTGTCGCCCTGTTGTGAGATTCGCTTGTAGCTGCGGGGGGTGGGGGGAGGAGGGAAGGGAAGGGAAGGGTGCTCTGTCGCCCTGTTGTGAGATTCGCTTGTAGCTGCGGGGGGTGGGGGGAGGAGGGAAGGGAAGGGAAGGGTGTTCTGTCGCCCTGTTGTGAGATTCGCTTGTAGCTGCAGGGGGTGGGGGGAGGAGGGAAGGGAAGGGAAGGGTGCTCTGTCGCCCTGTTGTGAGATTCGCTTGTAGCTGCGGGGGGTGGGGGGAGGAGGGAAGGGAAGGGAAGGGTGTTCTGTTGCCCTGTTGTGAGATTCGCTTGTAGCTGCGGGGGGTGGGGGGAGGAGGGAAGGGAAGGGAAGGGTGTTCTGTCACCCTGTTGTGAGATTCGCTTGTAGCTGCGGGGGGTGGGGGGAGGAGGGAAGGGAAGGGAAGGGTGTTCTGTCACCCTGTTGTGAGATTCGCTTGTAGCTGCGGGGGGTGGGGGGAGGAGGGAAGGGAAGGGAAGGGTGTTCTGTCACCCTGTTGTGAGATTCGCTTGTAGCTGCGGGGGGTGGGGGGAGGAGGGAAGGGAAGGGAAGGGTGTTCTGTCACCCTGTTGTGAGATTCGCTTGTAGCTGCGGGGGGTGGGGGGAGGAGGGAAGGGAAGGGAAGGGTGTTCTGTCGCCCTGTTGTGAGATTCGCTTGTAGCTGCGGGGGGTGGGGGGAGGAGGGAAGGGAAGGGAAGGGTGTTCTGTCGCCCTGTTGTGAGATTCGCTTGTAGCTGCGGGGGGTGGGGGGAGGAGGGAAGGGAAGGGAAGGGTGTTCTGTCGCCCTGTTGTGAGATTCGCTTGTAGCTGCAGGGGGTGGGGGGAGGAGGGAAGGGAAGGGAAGGGTGCTCTGTCGCCCTGTTGTGAGATTCGCTTGTAGCTGCGGGGGGTGGGGGGAGGAGGGAAGGGAAGGGAAGGGTGTTCTGTTGCCCTGTTGTGAGATTCGCTTGTAGCTGCGGGGGGTGGGGGGAGGAGGGAAGGGAAGGGAAGGGTGTTCTGTCACCCTGTTGTGAGATTCGCTTGTAGCTGCGGGGGGTGGGGGGAGGAGGGAAGGGAAGGGAAGGGTGTTCTGTCACCCTGTTGTGAGATTCGCTTGTAGCTGCGGGGGGTGGGGGGAGGAGGGAAGGGAAGGGAAGGGTGTTCTGTCACCCTGTTGTGAGATTCGCTTGTAGCTGCGGGGGGTGGGGGGAGGAGGGAAGGGAAGGGAAGGGTGTTCTGTCACCCTGTTGTGAGATTCGCTTGTAGCTGCGGGGGGTGGGGGGAGGAGGGAAGGGAAGGGAAGGGTGTTCTGTCGCCCTGTTGTGAGATTCGCTTGTAGCTGCGGGGGGTGGGGGGAGGAGGGAAGGGAAGGGAAGGGTGTTCTGTCGCCCTGTTGTGAGATTCGCTTGTAGCTGCGGGGGGTGGGGGGAGGAGGGAAGGGAAGGGAAGGGTGTTCTGTCGCCCTGTTGTGATATTCGCTTGTAGCTGCGGGGGATAGGAAGGGAGGGGACAGGGGTAGGGAACAGGGGTGAGGGAAGGGTGAGTGGGGAGCAGGGGCGGGGCGGAAGGGAAGGCGTGGGAACAAGGGAATGTGAGGGTTAGAGGGATGCACATTGGCTACTCCCCTCATTGGCTACTCCACGCCAGCTCCTCACCTGTACAGTATGCCACTGGTTTTCACTGCAGATCTCACTGCATTGGTCTGGTAAGAGGCTGAACCTTGACCGACCTCACGTGTATATCAGAGACTATTCTTAATGAGAGTCTCACAGGTGACAGTCTCCCAACGTGTGTTTGAATTCGACAGGATCCAGTGACAGGCAGAGCGAGTCGCACCTGACAGGCAGAGCGAGTCGCACCTGTGAACCATCTTGTTCCACGCCACACCGACTTCCGACGCGATCCGCGTCTGCTGCGACTCGAGCATCTGCGCGTACGCCTTAATCTGCGGGTTCTTCAAGGAGAGTCGCGCGCGCCGCGGAATTCTGCCAGCCGTTGCCTTCACCGCTGCGGCCACCGCCTTCGCTGTCGCCATCAGACCTGCTGGGCGGGCAGCGCTGTCGTTATTCTCGTCGTCATCGTTGTCGTCCGCCCAGCCGCCGGGAAAGCGGGCGACGGCTCCGCGATACGCGGCGAGGGGGGGCGCGGAGCGAAGGCGCACGATATAGAGACCGCTGCCACCGTCACCGGCGTTGCCGCCGCTTCCACCACTGCCGCTCGGCGCATTACTAGGGCGGACATCTGTGGGCGGGGTGAAAGGACACGGATCGTACACGGGGTGAAGGTCAGATGACGAATGATACTCTCCCGTGCTACCTGCGCAGGGCGTCAAGATAGAATGCGGTTCAGTATGGTGATCTATGGGTCAAGCTTATGCGGCCCACACTTACATCGGACAGAGAGGCATTGACACGTGGCAGTTAGGAGGAACAGGGCGAGGAGGAGGCGATGGGCGGTACTCATTGTGCCGCTGACCGTATTTCCGAATCAATACCTTCCGAATCAGAAGGTATTCGCGACAAGCGGATAAATGCAAGGCGGTAAGGTAAGCAAGGACAATGGAGCAAGAGTTGACTTTTAAGTCGACTCAAAAGCCAAATGCAAGGCGGTAAGGTAGGCAAGGACGATGGTGCAAGACGTCAATGTGAGTGGTATGGTATCCTGAACTCGCGCAGTATTCGCTGGAAAGCAAGTCTCCGAGGCTTATCGACGATTCTGGCGTGAGACGCGGCGCGTAGGCTTGTAAGCACACTCGAGCTAGTAGGGTACGCTGACCAGGGGATAACGAGCCGGTTTAATACCTGACTTATGGGTGAGGCGTTCGTGCCGTCACTCTGCCATGCGCCTTGAGACGTCGTGGTGGGTAGGTGCAGGGGGGAGGAGAGGATATTACTACTCGATCCCATGTAACGCGTCCTAAGGCATCAACATGGCCCATTTCTGTGGGGTGGTTGCGGAGCGGAGACGCGGGTGGGAGGATTGCAAGTCACTTGTTTATGAGCTGAACCATTGGCGTTGCTCTGTAGGCGTTATTGGAGAGCCTTGAGATTCTTGCGAGCGTTGACGCGTTCGAACCTGCGCAGGCTCGATCATTGGCGAGGTTAGAAAGGGTTATATAACTTGTGGATGCCATAACCGTGATTTCAATGCGGTGGAGGGTCGGCTGTCCACGACGAGTCGTGCAACATTGGCGGAGTTGACTGGTCACTTACTGAGTTATCGACCGATCGTGCATTATTGGAGCAGAATTTATCCACTGGAAAGACTACACTTCATAGCTTGTTTGAAATATTTTCCTTTAACCTTCTCAGTACATACAAACAAATTCAAATCCTTGGGAAGAATAGCCTGCACACTAAGTTCCCGCATTGACGAAATATCCCCCTAAATTTTACTCCAATCATTGCTGCCATCAGATCAGACAATCAGTAAGAAATTATGCTCACCAACGCACACCAAATCTCCCCCTCTCTCATTCATATCCGTACATCCATCATGTGCAGTCCCTCATATATCATCGTAAAACACGCTGATTACGCTGATTTTGTAGCTGTGATTTTCGTTTTCCCTGAAAATTCAGCATATGCTTCAATTTTGCACTGAAATTTCAGTATAACCTACCTTGTCACACTGACTATTTTGAATGTTTCTGTACGAGTAACACTGACGAATCAGTATAGTGACGTGAGTCACTGAAACGGAGTTGACCGCGTGGGGGGGGGGGGGATGATAGGGTACGCGTGTACAATCTGTACCTTCCCGTGATTCCTGAGACCCCACCCACACACTTGGCATTTTTTCCCATGCACTGCACAGATATCAGGTGCGCGCCGAAATGTTTTGCCTCGCTGGAACCTATCACAACAACACCACACACCTTGTACTGGGGTTATTGTCAGTAGAGCTACACTGTGAGATCCCCGATCGATCCTAGGGGGGGTTACAGACGCGTTTGCCTGGGGGTTATGGGCGCACTGACCCGCTACTGAAACAAGCCCTTTTATCCCAATGGTCTAGTGGTTGGGATTCTGACATGGTATCAGAGCGGTCTCGGGTTCGATTCCCGGTGTATGCACATGTAGGCCGAAGCCGCTGTGCTTAGTCCTGGGCCTCCCAGTGTGGGGGGGTGGCAGTAGATCTCCACTGTGGATGCCTGATTGATCCTGGAGAGGGTTACAGGCGCGTTTGCCTGGGGGGTTATGGACGCACTGACCCGCTGCTGAAACAAGCCCTTCTATCCCAATGGTCTAGTGACTGGGATTCTGACATGGTGTCAGAGTGGCATCGGGTTCGAATCCCGGTGTATGCACATGTAGGCCGTTGCCGCTGTGCTCAGACCTGGGCCTCCCAGTGTGGGGAGGTGTCAGTAGATCTGCACTGTGGATGCCCGATTGATCCTACGGGGGTTTACAGGCGCGTTTGCCTGGGGAGTTATGGGCGCACTCTGACCCGCTACTTAACAAGCCCTTTTATCCCAATGGTCTAGTGGTTGGGATTCTGACAGTTTCAGCTATAGTTTTTTGTTATTACACTGTTGGTTCAGTTTACTGATTTTTACACTGGCAAAATCAGTATAAAAAAACCGTGAACGCTGATTTGGACACCTCGTTGGCCGGGGCACGCTGATCCATCAGCATACCCTCAAACCAATCTGAGGGCCTGATCATGTGCATTCATCATTCATCCACCTCCACCTCAACGTCGTCCCCCTCCATGTCCACCAGATCAACGTCCGTTCCCCCCGTGGAAGACGCTGCACAGAGCAAGATCACACGGGCTTAAGCCCGTTGAACCGCCACCCCGACGAGCACCATCACGAAAACTAAAAGACAAGCCGAAAACGCACTCTCATCCTCCTGACAGGCCCCACGCTACACGGCTAGTCCTAAGTGCACGTCCCTCTGCTGTCGCAACCATCGCCGAAAACGTCCACAAAATCACCCCCACTTCTCTTATTAGAGGGGCGACCTGCATGCCCTGATTGCGCGCCAGCGGTGGTGCGTAATAACCCGTCTTCTCATGCTCCCACGCTCTCGTAGTCACACCTTTAGAACGCCCATACTGTTCTACCAGAAAGGGAGAACGCGACAGCAGGTCTGCTGTCAATGTGTACTTGTTACTTAGGTGTTTGTACATATGCGCTTTGGTAGCCTGGCTTATGGTAAGGTCTTTGTACTATGATTTACATTTAGTTCATCTTCTTTTGATATGGTATCTAGGAGCTTAGGACCCCCACTTCCGCTATGCGCGTCCTACCAAAGCCTTGCCCGCCACCTACTATACCTAGTCGGTTAGCCGGCCTCCTAATCACCAGCCCGCCCGTGGGAGCCAGCCCGCCCCTTGGCTGCCAGCATGTACGCTAGTAGCAAACACGCCAGCAATGCACGCAACAGTAACACGTAGGCCGTCAACACGCGCCAGCAACCTGCACGCCAGCACTGTGTAGACGCCAACAGCACGTAGGCCGCCAGCAGCACGCAGGCGGCCAGAATCGCGCGCTCCAGCAGCGCGTAGGCCGCCAGCCATGCGTAGCGCCAGCAGCGTGCACGCCAACAGCCAGCGTATGTGCACCAACACGCTTGCTAGCGCTCGCTCGCCAGCGCGTTAGCAGCGCACGCCCGCGGGCGCGCACTTACTAGCAGCAGCGCACACCAGCCCGTTGCGGTCAGCCTATTGCCATTGCACGTGCCCCAGCCAGCCATCTGCCAGCGCACGCTGCTAGCCAGCACATACGCGAGCCAACCAACCGTCAGCGTACCCTACCACAGCACGCACTAGCAATGCGCTGCTTACGCCTCGCCAGCCGCTTGCTGCAAGCACGCGCTAGCAGCAGCTCACCAGCAGTGCGCTTGCGAGTAGCCCACCCCCAAAGCGCACTAACAGTGCACATCACCATCAGCCTGCAACGTGTCGCCTCTGGCACGTGTGAAGAAATGAGGAATGAATGAACTAGCAAGCAGGTGGGTACAAGTAGGAAAACTTGAAAGAGTTGTACCCCATATTGTTTACCCCACTACAGCCTACACAGACTATAGCACATAAGTTTGACACACCCCCATAGGCAAAGTGGGGGAGAACAAGAGGTCACAAGACCAGTCAAGCAAAGCAAAGCAAGCTCAGGGTGGATCACAACGTCACCACACATTCCGAGCACAAGTTCAAGGCCAGAAGGCCAGCTCACATGCAAGATCATATATAGAGGTAAACAAGCAAGTGCAGGTATAGAAAGATCACAGTACAAGCAAGGTCAAGAAGTGAGCAAGTGAGGCCAAGTAGGCACAAGACCTAGCATCGTACAGAAACGCTGATGATCACAAGGCGGAAGTGCCTTGGTAAAGATATCAGCAGTGTTGGCCTCAGAGGCCACGTAAGCAAGGCGCAGCTGATCACGCTGCTGCAGCTCACGAGCAAGGAAGTAGCGAAGAGCAATGTGCTTCGTTCTGTGCTCCAGTCTCTGCTCTCGACACAAGGCCAGCATGGCTTTGTTGTCTACGTACAGCAGTGAAGGAGAACGAGGCGGCTCTCCGAGGTCAGTCAGCAGGTAGGTGAGCCAGCAAAGCTCCTGTGCAGCCATGGCCCCCGCGTAGATCTCAGCCTCACAACTGGAGCCGAGAACAGAAGACGAGCGGGTAGCCCGCCACGAAACATAGCCGGAACCAAGGCTGAAGGTGTAACCCTGTGACGACCGCTGCGTAGCCTGGTCGTCAGCCCAAGAAACGTCTGCGTGCCCAGTGAGGACCACTGGACTCTGCCCTCCAAGCACAAGCCCCATGCCCGACGTACTGCACAAGTAGCGCAACACCCTCTTCGCTGCAGCCATGTGCTCCGGTCTGTGTCTCCCAGGAGCAACATAGCGTGCGAGAATGCTAAGAGGGTATGCAAGGTCAGGTCGTGTGCAGGTCATCAGGTACATGAGGCAGCCAACAAGCTCTGGGTACGGGCCACTCGACTCTACGGACTCATCCGAAGGCAGAGCTGAGAGCGAGTGGCGAGTAGGCAGAGGAGTGGCCTGAGGCGAGGAGTACGTGAAGCCGAAGCGCTGAAGGACCTGCTGCACCATGTGTGACTGAGTCAGGGTAATGGTGCGGCGTGCTCTGTCCCGGGTGATCTGCAAGCCAAGGTAGCTGCGCAGTTCACCCAAGTCTGTGCACGTGTGTCTCTTCTGCAGCTCGGACTTCACGTGGGCGAGTCCAGCAGTGTCAGCTTTGGCAAAGACCAAGTCGTCGACGTACACGAGGATGTAGAACGGCGGCAGAGAAGTGTCGGTGCGCAGAAACAGCGACGGGTCGGCAGTAGAGGGAGCAAACCCAAGAGCCGCAAGCGTAGTCCTCAGTGTGTCGTGCCACTCACGCGGTGACTGGCGGAGACCGTAGACTGGCCGCCGGAGGCTCCACTTGGTGCCAGGAGGAAAAGTCCCAGTGAAGCCAAGTGGGCGGCCCAGCCAGATCTCCTCGTGCAGGCTA